GCTTTGGGGGACTGTGTGATGCCAGGGTGGAAACCCAGGCCTCTGCCCGAGCCCTGCCTATCGCACCATCTCCCTGGTCCCGAGGTGGCACCCCAGACTGGGTTCCGGGTTAGACCTCCAGGCCTCTTTGAGGCTGTGCTGAGGCACATTTGTTGACCAGGGATCTGTGGAGCCAGGGGGAAGGGGCCCTGGGGTCTCTTTTGCCTAAAGTCTAGGGAGCGTGATGGAAGGAGGGCCCCCGAGATCAGGCTGTAGACTGGCTGGGGAGGGTCAGGGCTGAGAGCCTTGGCTGGAGGGGCTTTTGGAGAAAGGGAGTAACTGGTCATCACTGGTCCCCAAGCCTCCTGCTTGGAAAGTGGGGGGGGGGGGAGAAAGGGAGAGAGAGAAAGTGAGAGAGAAGAGGAGAGGAGAGAGAATGAGAATGTGTGTGTGTGTGTGTGTGTGTGTGTTTTCCTGAAAAGTGTGTAAGTTGTTCCAGCTCACTGTTCTGGTTCGAAAGCTGCCCAGACCCGCCCTGCCCAGCGCTGCCAGCTCCTGGCAGGGTCGGGGGCCCCAGGGTCCAGGGCTGAGCTGCTGCCAGGGCGCTGGCATGCCCATCCCCCTTGAGGTTGACTGGCGCCCTGGGTGTCTTTTGCATATGATTCATTTACTGTCTAGAATACTCAGGAAACCCCCAGCTCCCCTTCTTTTGAGGGCCCCCCCAACTTCCTAGCTGGTCCTGGCTGCTGCAGCCGCCTACCTGCCCTCTCTTTTTGGGGAGCTGAGAGGAAACAAATCGAGCAGGGGGCCCAGGCCCACGCTGGGCTGGGAGACCCCTGCACATCTCCCCCCCAGGATGGGGAGGAAATCGCCTGCTTCTCTTCTCATTCCTGCACCCCAGCTGAAGGTTGGATTGCGGTCTGGCCAGAAGGGAATTTGGGAAGGGGGTGTGGTCAGACCCATGCTCACCCCTGGAATATTGGGGTGGGGGGTATGGAGCCTGTGGGTGGGTGGAAGGGTCACGGGAAGGGTGGGAGGCAGGCTGGTGCCTGCCTGCCTGCCTAGATGCTCTGAGGGTCCATTGGGGGGTGGTGCCCTGCTGGAGTTTGCCAGCTCTGTTATCTCCCCAATCACAGCCTCGGAGTAGGCAGCTTCCAGGTGAGCAAACAGGTGCCTGGAGAGGCAAGTGGCCCAGGGTGGCAGCGCCCGGGGTGGCAGTGCTGAGATTTGTCCCTCCCAGCCTCTGCGTCTTTCCTTCCTTTCTGCTGCTCCCGCCTTTTTCTTTGGGGCGTGTGGGGATGCAAGTCACAGAGGAGCATGGGGGAGGGGCCGATGCCTGGGTGGGGGGCTGGCCGCAGGCACCTCTCTGTGCTCAGTGGTGCCCTGGGCAGGGCTGGGGTGCAGGTTGGATGTAGGTAGTTTGTTTTCCCTTTGGTGCTGGTTTCAGTTCTCTGGGGGTGCTTTCTGCACCCTAGGGGTTGGGGCAGGAGGTGGGGCCCAGGCATCTGCCCAGAGGCCCTCTGAACAGCACCAGCACACTCGGCCCCGCCCCCGTCCTGCCTGGCCCATCCCTGTTCCCTGACCAGCCTGGCCCTTGGCCCATTTCTCTGACCTTTACCCCTCCCTGGGCTCAGAGCCCTCCCCAGGGAGCTGAGGAACTTTGCACTGAAGTTTGCAGACTGTGTTGGGCCTAGCAAGGCTCTGCTGGGAGTGGGGGAGGCCTGCCTGTGTGTGTGTGTGTGTGTGTATGTGTGTGTGTGTGTGTGTGTGTATGTGTGTAGGAATGAATATGAGTGTGTGAGTGGATGTGCGTGAGTGAGCATGAGTGTGTGTGAATGTGTTGTGTATAAGTGTGTGAATGTGTGTGAAGGGCGTGTGTGTATGTATGAGTTTGAGTGTGTATGTATGTGAATATATGCAAATGGACATGAGTGTATGTGTATATATACATGTGAGTGTATAATTGTGTATGAATGTATGTGAACAGGCGTGAGTATGTATGTACATGTATGTATATTATGTGCATATCCATTGTGAATGGGCGTATATATGTGTGTATATGTACGTGTGTAAGTGTGTGTGTGTGTGTGTGTGTGGATATGGGTGTGTGTGTATGTGTGTGTACAAGTGCGTGAATGCATGTGAACCGGTACAAGTATGTAGGTGTGTTTGTGTGTGTGTGTGAATGTATGTGAATGGGCGTGAGTTGTGTAGGTTGTGTAGTTCTGTAGGTAGAGTTGTGTGCTGAGTGTGTGTGGGGACCTGATTCCCTGGGCATGAGTTGGGCCTTTAGGGCTATCATGGTCTTTTCTCTGAAGTGAGGATGGGCTCCTGAGGGCTCTGCACTTGGCAGGATCTGCCTCTCCCTGCACCCGCCAGACCTGGGTGGGTCTTTTGAGGTGCGGTCTGGTGTGAAAGGCTTTCCAGACCTGGTGGGCTTCGTGGAGGGGCCCCGGTGTGTGGACCCTGGTGTGTCTGGGTTGCTGAGTGCCAGGGTGCGCAGAAGCAGCGGGCCCGGCTGTGGGAGGGCTGGGAACGGGCGTCTGGGAACCAGGAGGGGGCTGTGGCTGTGGGGAGCCGCGTCTGGGGCTCAGCACGCCAGGTCTGTTGGTGGTGGGTGCAGCCCAGGTGTGGGGAGATGGTATCATGGGGCTCCCTCTCCCCACCTGCATGCCCACACACAGGCCAGGGCGCGCCCGCGTGCTCCTGCCCACCATGCACTTTCTGCAGCGCTCTGTGTGTGTGTGTGTGTGTGTGTGTGTGTGTGTGTGCGCGCGCACACACTCGCGCTCATGCGCTCGTGTGTGTCTGGATCCATGCGGGTGGGACTTTGCCAACCCTCTTTGCCTGTGCCCCTCCATCAGTTCCCTGTGTGTGGGGCCCCACAAGGGTGAGGGGGGCCAGGGTGGCAGCTGGCCCGATGGGTGGGGCTATTCCTCTGACATCAGCTCACTAGGCTGAGGGAGTGGAAGAGGGAAGACGCAGAAAAGGGGGCACCTCCCTCAGGAGACAGGAGGGCCCCGTGACTGTGGTTGCCCCGAGAAAGCAGTGGAAGTTATGGTCACTGACAAGTCTCCGTCCAGGGGGAGTTGCCCCCTCCCTCCCCATTGCACCACAGCCCAGTTTCTGTCCCGATGGGGCCGAGCCTGCAGCCTGTACTTCCAGGGAAGGCTGGGGAAGGAAGGAGATCCTGACTGGATCTCTGGGGCTGTCGAGGGCTACTTCCAGCTTTGCTTGGGGGGATCTCTCGACCCTTTGAGCTTCCTCCTAGCCCCTTCTCCTTTCCTTTAACAGCTTCACTGAGATAGCACCGACCAGAGCACCCTCCCCCCTCACACACACACATACACATTTACAGTCCTCTGCTTGGAGTTATTATAGTTCTAGATTGTTTTCATCACTCAGAAAGGATCGTCGTGTCCATCAGCAGTTTCCTCCTGTGCCACACCTTTGTCCCTGGCCACTACCACCGACTGTCCATCTATGTAGATATGTCCACTCAGAACACTTCACGGAACTTGAATCTGGCCTCTGATAGCCGGCATGCTGTCTTCAAGGCTTATCCTTGCTGTGTATATCCAAACCGAAGTTCCTTCCTTCCTTCCTTCCTTCCTTCCTTCCTTCCTTCCTTTCTTCTCTCCCTCCTTCCTTCCCTCCCTCCCTTTCCTTCTTCCCATTGTCCCTCCCTCCCTCCCTCCCTCCCTCCCTCCCTCCTTCCTTCCTTCCACTCTCCCTTTCCTTCCTCCCGCCCTCCCTCCCTTTCCTTCTTCCCATTGTCTCTCCATCCTTCCCTCCCTCTCTGTTTGGGGAAATCCGGTGCTCCTGAGTGCTTGGTGCTTCCGATAACAGTGGTGTTGAGAACTGAACCTGGGCTCCGGCATGCCAAGGGGGCCCTGTAGATCGCAAGCCCTCTCCCTGGCCCACCTTGTCCCTGTTTTTAGAACAATACAACATTCCACAGGAACACGTAACTAGGTTGAACCTTTTGAGAAATCATCAGCCAGTTCTCCCTGCCAGCCTGGTCTTCCGACCCTTGTCGTGAATCTGTCTGGTGGAGGTGCAGCGCCAAGGCTGTGTTTCCGCGGGCCGTTTCTCTGTCCTTCTCACCTGCCCTTGCATGTGGGTCAGCTTGCAGAGTGACCTGTGTCACTGGGCATCTGCCGCTCCACCCCGGGCACCCAACCCTACTCACTGGCTCTCGGCTCCTGTCTCTCCTGTCCCTTCATCAGATCCCCTCATTGCATGGTGGGGTCTCAGGGCTCCTCTCTGCCCCTCGCCCCTGGGCGTCAACTGTGCATGGCCTCTGGTCCCAGCTGTGCAAACAGGGCGCGGCTTTAAGTCCACACAGATCGGGGGACATCGGGACTTTCATCTGCCGCCCACCGCATGCCCCGTTCCCGGGGTGCCGCTGCAGCAGGGCGGGGGTGAGCTCAGATCACTGCCGGCCACTCTTCTGTTGCTTGGGATGGGGGGCTTGGTCCTCCTGGTGCTGCCCAGGGGTCTTGGTTGCCACTTCCCTATTTGTGCATCCGAGCAGCTCCTCTCCCCACCCGGCCTGTGGGAGCCAGCCAGATGGGGCTCCGGGGCTTGGGTTTGGGGGGAAGTGGTGCGAGAGGGGCCTCCTGGCTGAGGAGTCATTTTTCTGAGAAGTGCCAGTGCTTTGGGGAAGCAGCCTTTCCTCCCCCAGCACACATTCTCTTGTGTTCCGACCTCAGTTAACCCACGCTAGACAGGACAGGGCCCAGCTGCCGGGACCCTCTATGGTGGCACGAGGGCTCCCTGCCCTGCCCTCAGGATTTTGGCTCTGGGCTCTGGCCTGGTCTCCCCCGTCTGTCCATGCTCCTCTGACAGCCCCCGCAGTGGCCGAGTCCTGCTCCCAGTCCGTCTCTGCCAGCCAGGCACCATGCCAGCTGTCTGCTCAACTGGGTGCCACGGAAAACTCTGGATGAGGGAGCTCCACGGGGAATGCCCCGGTGCCCGCTGCTCTGTGCCCACTCACCTGTCTTTTCCTCTTCCCTCAGCCTCACGGGACATGGCCCCCCCAGCCGCCTAGCGGGATCCTGCCTGGGGCGCCCTGAAGGCCAGCAGTGGACCATCCCAGAAGTCCCAGCTCACGGAACCGCTTGAGCCAAGAACCCGGTGTTGGTGCCCGTCTGCCCACCCCGCTGCCCCCCAGGGGTGCCCAGGAGTCTAGGGACATCAGAGGATTGACATTTGCCAGCCTGGGACCTCAGCACCAGGACTGAAGGGGGGGTGGGCCGCCCACCCAAACCCCCAGCGGGCCCAGGCCCCATGCCCCGCGGAGGGGCAGCCTGAAGCCCCCTGGAGCGTCCTGCGCACGACTCGCCCTCCTGACGGCGGCTGCTGGGCATGGCCAGCAACAGCAGCTCCTGCCCGACTCCGGGGGGAGGGCACCTCAATGGGTACCCGGTACCCCCCTACGCCTTCTTCTTCCCCCCGATGCTGGGTGGACTGTCCCCGCCCGGCGCCCTGGGCACTCTCCAGCACCAGCTTCCGGTCAGCGGCTACAGCACGCCTTCCCCCGCCAGTAAGTAGGAGCTGGATGGCTCCGTGGGAGGGGGCGCTGGGTGGGGGCAAACCAGGACACTTCCAGAGGAGGGGCCCCCTCGATGGAGGTGGGGAGGTGCTGGAGGGTGAAAGGTCTCAGCCTAGAGGCTGCGCACAGAGGCCGTTTGCTGTGGGGTGGTAGGGCGAGATGGGCTGGCCCCCGAGCTCTGCCCTTAGGGACCTTATTGATAGCTTCCAGGACCGGTTGCCCGGCCCTAGGAGGCCCCGCTGACCTCTTGGTGTCAGAAACAACAGGTCTCGAGCATGGGGCCCTCCCTGTCTTACTCCATCCAGTGTGTCTGAGACTGGGGCTGGAAGGAATAGACCCAGGCAGGCCCTGGGGCCCCCCTTGGCCTTGCCCCTCCCTGCTGGATCAGGCTCCGAGGTGCTTCCGGGGTGGCAGGAGGGACCCACAGATTGCCTGTCATGGAGGGGGCTCGTGTCTCAGGAGGGGGAGGGTCTCAGGAGAGGGCATGTGGCCCCACTCAGCTCCGGAATGGCCCACTTTTTCTTTCTGCCTCCCCACTCTGCCCTGGGGGTCTCCTGTGGGCTGGGCGGGGGTCCCTGTACCCTTCCCCCGGCTGTTGGCTGAGCCAGGTAATGGGAGGTGGCCGTTGCGCTGGCCAGCTGGCAGCGTCCAGGCCGCAGGCCTGCCAGGCCGCTTACAGTAACTCTGGCCCCCAGGGCCCAGCCGGGCTCCCGGCCAGGGCTGTGGGGAGGAGGGAGTGGGGCCTGGCCTGGGGCGGAGGGGGCGGATGGAAGCGGCCGAGCCAGGCTGTGGACACAGCGGCCGAATGGTCAGTTGCTGACCTGGGCCCCGGGTCCCACCTCTCCTGGCGGGCAGGGGCCGGACCCCGTGGCCTGGACCCCCCGCTGCCCCTCCCCTCCCTGCTGGCAGACTGCCTGGCACCCCGACCCGTGCGCCCGCCGGCGGGACTGGGTCAGTGCCCCCTTCTCGGCGTGGGGGCAGCACATGCGCCCCGGAGCCAGGGAGTCTCTCTGTCCCTAGGGCAGGCCCTGGCTGGGCGCCTCACTGCCCGCACTGGCCAGCTGCCCAGCGCCACCACCGCTTCCTGGCTCGCTTCCCCTGGCAGTGCAGGGAGCACTCGTGGGAGCCGGGCTCCTGGAGGCCCCTGCCCTGCCTCAGTTTCCACTGCCGTCGCTCACAGCCCCAGCCATCCTTCCGTCCACGCTCGAGGGTGGCTGGCCGGGGCTGTGTGTCTGCGACTCCTGAGGTCTTTGTTGACAGGGCCTGGGACTGTGGGGGAGTTAGGGGCTGCCATCCGGCCCCGGGGTGGGGGTAGGCCCCGTGCCCCAGATGCTCTGAGTGCGGGGGATGGAGGGTTCGGGCCGGGCCGTGCTGTGCCGTGCTAGACAGCAGGGCTGATACCCTGCTTTCCTGTCAGTGTTGCAAACTCCTTCCTCTTTCTCCGAGGTGGGTGGGGGCACTTCTGGGTCCTCCACTTCCCACCCTGCTGGTAACCTTTCCCCCTGAGGGCGGGGTGCCCACATTTTGGGCAAGTGGAGCCTTCCTTGGTGTTCCCCACCCAGGTTGGGCAATGCCCCCTTCCTGCCCCCTCCCTCCAAGAGCCCTGGGTTCCCCCCTCCCTGCCGTCTCTCCTCTCCCCCCTCCCTGTCTCAGGGCCACCCTCAGCTTCTGAGCCTCTCCCTGACCTTGTCTCCTGCTGGGAGGGACAGGGTGAGGGGCAGGTCTGCCCGCTGCCCATGCCCATGGACACATCAGTATTCCCTTGGGGCTGGCTGCCTGATGCTCTGACCTCCCCACCCCCCACACACACACCCCTTGTTTCTGTTGTCAGGGGACCCCTTGGTCCAGGGCATGGATCCCTGGCCTCCCTCCTGCACATCAGGCCTGTGTACCGGTGCCCCCCCACTCCCCTGCCTCGCCCCACTCTGTGCTCAGGTGGGACCCCTCCTCCCATTTCCTGCCCAGGTGAGGAGGAGGCTGAGGGGCTGGCTGCACCCCTCAGAGCCTGTGTGCAGAACTAGAAATTCCCCTAATCTCTCAGGGAGCTGGATTGGGAGCCCCCCCCCCCCGCAAATCTCCCGGTTGATCTCTGAGGATGGGGTTCATGGGAGAGCTGGGATTGTGTGTTTGTGGGGAAGGTTGCTGCGGTGTTGTATCTGATGGGAAGGCTGGGGTGAGTGACTGAGTGACTGATTGAGGGGAGGGTGTGTGGATTGGGCTGGAGGAAGTCGGTCTGTCTCCAGCCTCGCTCCAGCTGGAGGGGCGCCAGCCTGTCCTGGGTGCTGGCCTGGGGGCTCCTTGGCCATGTTCTGGGTGTTGCTCCTGGCCTTGCCCTGGAGCATCTGGTGGCCCAGGACCTGGCTTGCCGTGGGTTGGCAGGAAGTGGGCATGGAGGGCTGGCTGTGGGATGCGGGGCCCAGGGCTCTGCTAGGTGCTCACCGAATGAGATGCTCACCGCACCCCCCCCCCCCCCCCCGCCAACTTGTGGTGCGCTTGGGACTTACCCTTTTACAAATTCTTATTTATTTATTTACTTATTTATTGGGGTGGGGGCACCCCCTGGCGCTGCTCAGGGTTTGCTTCTGGCTCTGCACTCAGGAATTGAATTAACTCCTGGCGATGCTGGAGGAGGGGGACCAGGTGGGGAACCTGGGATTGAATTCGGGCCTAGCACCCTACCCACAGTCCTGTCTCTTTGCTCTCCCTTTTACAAATCTTAATCGTGCCAATGCTGGTGAGGGGCCTTGATCCCCAGGACCTGGTGCGGGGGGAACACAGCGGGCCAGGGCCAGTGACTCGCTGTTTCCTCCTCCCCAGGCCTGCAGCCCAGGAGGAGCACTGTGGGGACACCCCCCGAGTGAGGGGAGCAGTGCTCCATCTCCTAAAGCCCGCAGGAAGCCCCCATGCTGGACGCCCACATCGTGTCCCTGAAGGGGGCAGGAGCAGTTACTTGCAGGACCCTCCCCCGCCCCCCTTTTCTCTGTTTTGGCTTCCCCAGCGATGGGAGGCCCCGCCAAAGTTCCGCCCTGTCCTGGAAGTTGCGGATACAATCTGGGCACACCCCTCCCCGCCCCCAAATCTCAGCCGAGCCGCTGAGCTACAGCGCCCGCCCGGGGAACAGGGTGTGAACCCACAGTTCTTACCTAGATTGTTTCCATTCACGGGGGCGCGGGCAAGGGCGCGGAAGCTGGAAGCACGCGGGGCGGGGAGCCCCCAGAGGCAGACGCCCACCGCTCAGAGGATGGGTCTCCTCCATCCTCCACGGGGGCCCTGGAGGCTGAGAGTGGCAGGAGGGTCCGAGCTGCCAGGGGTGAGGGGTGGTGCCCTCCTTCGCCTCTCCCTCCCCCTCAGCCCTCTCTTTCCCTGGACAATAGGAGGGACTGCTTGGGAGGGGCCGGGCCAGCACCGCCTCTCCCCAGGGTCCAAGATGTCAAGCCAAGACTTTAAAGTGGGGGTTTGAAATGAAAATGAGACTCGGTCTTTTATCTCCTGCAGCCGGGGCTGGTGATAATGCTAATGCAGTGGCCTCTCAGTGCTGGAACCCTGCCTGGGGGAGGCCACCCCCACCCCCAGGCCTCTCCCTGAGGCTGGTCAGGGATCCCCAGAGCTCAGGTGGAGAGGAAGCTCCCCGGGGTGCCCCCCCATTCCCTCCTCCCTCTCTCCGTGAAGCTGGGACCCAGGCTAGACTGGAGGGTCAGAATGGCTGAGATTTGGGGGGGATCCAGCTCTGGTGGTCCACAGAACCAGTGCTGCCCTTCTCCCCAGGCCCCCCAGGAGAGTCTTCAAAGGCTGTGAACACTACAGCTGGCTGAGTTCAGGGCTCTGAGCTCAGGCATCACTCTTGGTCCCCCTTGGGGATCCTGAGCACTGCAGGCTGGAACCCTGGGTGGCTGCGTGCATATCAGGCGCCTTCCCTCTCCTTCCCCCCCACCCCAACAGCCGCCCTCCTGTGTGGTGCCGGGCTTGGGGAAGGAAATTTTCCCGGACTCCCCTATCCCCTCTGCTTTAGAGCAGACTGTCCCTGCATATCACTCAGAGGCCACGAGCTGCCAAGAGCCCCAGAGAGCCCTGCTGGCCAGGGTGTGGCACCCAGCCCTGTCATGGGGGTGTGGGGGGCATGTCCATCTGGTTCCAGGCCTCATGGTTTCCTGTCTATTACCCTTTACAGATGAGGTCTGGGGAGAGTGGGAAGCCTTGCCTTGTATCAGTGGGGGCTAGTTCAGCCCGACCCACATCTGCTGAGGTCCTGAAGGTGCTACCAGGGATGGATCGAGAGAGGAGCTGGGGTGGACGGGCTGCAGGCACCCCCACCCTACGCCGTCTCTCGCTGCCAACTTCCCTCTGCCCCAAACAGACACCTCTCCCTGCTTCTCCCTTTCCCAACTTCACATGTCCCTTAAGGGACCTCTAAAATGCTGCCTCTTCCCAGTGTCGGTCACGGATGTCCCCAGTTCCCATGGGCTGGTGGTTTACCTGCTGCGACACTCAGCACTTTGCTCGGCAGTGACCTCTTCCTGCCGCGTCCCCACCTTGATCTGCTGTCCCAGGCACTTGTCCCCCTTATGGGTGCTCCTATGGTGGGGACGGGCCTCACACCCCACTGCTGACTGGCCAGAGCTCTGTCCTGGTGATGCTGGGGGACCACCTGGGGTGCCTATGATCAAACCAGGGTCCGCCAAATGTAAGAAAGCCATCTTAGTCCCTGTACTGTCCCTCTAGCTCAAAAACCATTTGATATTTTTGTTTGAGGGCCACACCAGGTTGTACTCTGGGCTCACGGGATCCTAAGAGATGCTGGAGATCAAACCTGGGTCGGCCGCTTGCAAGGCAAAAGCGTTCCTGCTGGCTTGTCTCCCAGGCCCTCTGCATACTACTCTGCATTCTCAGGACCTAGGCTTGTTGCACATGCCCCCAGAGCTGCCTCTGATGCCTCCTTTGCCCCCAACTTTTGCACCAACTCTGAGCAAACCCAGAGGGATTTGCTCCTCCCT